AGTGACCCTGCCAATCTTGAACCATTTCCTCTAAAGCACTGACACCCATGGATCTTAATGCAGAAACCTCTGAGGTTAAGCCTGTGGAACCTGAAACAAGGTCTTCTAGATAGGAATTTGGCTGACTAATGCTATAATAGTTGCAGTGTAGACGAGTAAAGACTAAAATGATAAGCAGAAAAAGATCTCTGTCCAAAGTAGACAACAGATCCACATTTGGGTGTCAGAAAAACATTCATGTGTGAATGACCAGTAATACAATGAACATATCTATGGAAGATGATAGATCTTCCTTGGCAACAAGAGTAAGATGGTAGCCCTCAAACTCTCTCTCTTCATCAAGGTTAGAGCCAATCAGAATCTCTTTTACAGTGGCACATGGGTTCCATTAAGAAGAAGTAGCTGGACAAGAAGGGGTTTCTCAGACCCATTCACTTCCTCTGTTCTTCCTTAACTACCCCTGTTAGGGTTGAAGAGATTTTGGCTTAATCATACAATGGATTTCTGTTATAAGATGTGATCAGCCCTAGTGATGGAATGTCTGATTGTTTTGTAGAAACTAACTGAAGAATCTGAGAATATGGGGTGAGCAGCTTTCTGGACTTTGACAATGTAGGTTAAGCAGAAAGATGAAGTCAGAGTTCTGGAGAAAGGAGAGGGGCTATACAAAAGTAGGGAGGGCAATGTGACAAAATGAAGAATCTATCTGAGGGCAATCAGACTAGAAGTTTAAACAAATATTGTCCAACATCAATTATGTCTTAATCACCATATTGTCAATACCTACAACTATTTTACTAAAATAGTTGATTACCTCACAGCAACCATTCCAGCAGACTTCAGAAACACTTTGGTCTTATTAGTATAACAGCTTTTTATTTCAAAATGCATTTTCATACTCAGAATGATTCATGATTCTGCATCTTTACATTATCCCTGCTTCATGTTTCGAGGACTCCATGTCTTTAACATAATCTTCACATTACAGTTCTGAAATGTAATATAAACAAGTCACTTCTTAGATCAATTATTCCAATAGCTTTCATTTAGAACGAAGCCTGTAACATAGTCTAGTATGTGAAGTACTCTGGCCTATTTTCTTTGTCCTTTCAATTACTGCCACTTTCTTCATCACACTTTGTATTCCAGCAATATTAAATGGATACTGGTTGACACCAACATTACTTATCCTTAAACTTCCAGGGAGTTCACAAAAAGACAGCTTGGCTTTCTTTAGCACTGTCTTCTCTGAAAAAGCTTTCTTTGGCCCTTATAAGTAGAATCATTTGTATTCTGTGCTAAACTTCTATCATATATGTTTCAGATTTTTGATTTTACATTGTTTTAAAATTGTTGTTTTAGTTTCTTTTTCTAATAAGAGCCTTGAGACTTTTGAGAAAAGATGCTGTGTCTTATTCCATTTTATTTGCATGATGCCTACCTAACTTTTTGCTGGTAAATGGTATTTTGGATTGATTTGAACTATTGATCAAGATTTACTAGTAATCAAACATTACTTTTTGCGACATTTCTATGTGCTCTGAATGGAGAAGTGTAACTCTGATACGTAAATCATATACCTCATTCTCGAGAAATTAACACTATATTTTGGAAAAAAAAAAAACAACAGAAAATAAGTACAACTGAAAAGAGACCATAACTGTCAAATAGAACCAAATAATCTGAAAGATGCAATATTACACTTCGGAGTAAATATTGAACATGGCACTTTCAAAATATAATAAAGCAAGTTTCATTCATGTAATTACTTTCTATTAAGATAATAAAGGCCATTCTGGACAAAAATAAGGAAAGTTTTATTAACAGTTGACTACATCAGAGCAGTGATTCAAGTAGACGTCAGAAACTACTCTGGCGAATTAGTACAAGAGATGTCTAAAATGCATTCTCATACTCAAAATAGCTCTTTATTCATTTCTTCATAATATATACTAAGATAAGCAATGACCTCAATTAACATCAGTATCAGTGAATAGAAACACTGACAGTTTCCCTGCCATTTAAGCCAAACAACATCTTACTTCCTCTTTAATTCGATGAGCCACCAACTTGTATGATGAATAGTGATTGAGTTAAATAACATAAGGTGGGCAAACTTACAACTTATTTCAAAATGTGGCAAAACATTGGCACTGAATTGAAATGTTTTCAGAATATTTGAGGAATTAAGACAAGCAAGTCAGCAATATGCAAAGCTGCAACAATTGGCTAAGGAAAGCAGAAGACAATCGACAGAAGAGAGTTTTAGGTCAAGGTCCATCAAGACCAACGAACAAAATTACACACAAATATACAATGCGTATGTTAAATCACTTCAGAAAAGGAAAAGTAATCAGTGTCAGCTACACTACTGAAAGAAAGAAGAATTACTGGTGAAAACAGGACTGAAGGATGGTAGAATTTGGATAATCATAGGGAAAGGATATTTTTAAAACAATTAACTGCAGGTACTCATAAAACAAATGATGAATTAGCTTGACAGAAGGTATATGTAGCTAAGATAGAATTAATATTGCAGAGTTTTGGAAGTCATTTGTTTTTTTTTTTACTAAAACCTTATAAAAGAAATTTTAGTAAGATTAATCTGGCAGCAAAATGCACAATGGAATGTCATACAGACAGACTGGCATATAGACAAAAGAAGATGAATGAATAAAACTGATGCACTAGTACACAAGGAAATGAGGCAAAAGCAGTGGTAATGGGAATAAACAGAAAGGGCAAATGTAAAAGACATCCCAAATTAAGAAATTATTGAATCAACACAACTGACAAAATGGTGAATTTAGAGAATTAAAGAGAGAGAAGAGTCACAGATGCTTAAAAATGCTTACTTTGTTCAAATATAAACATGAAAACAGTGTAATGAATAGTATAAATAGGAAGAAGCATGACTGGTGGTCATTAAACAAATTGAGATTTGTATCTTTTGTGTGTAGGTTGATTAGAGACAAAAATATAGGACTGAATTCTGAATCTGGTAACTTCAATTTTCACAAAATGTTTAGTGAAGATAACAGTGAAGGAAAATGAAAAGCCGATGAGTTTTTGGAATATTTTAACATTTCTTGTTATAGCTAGATTGTTGTTGTACAAAGAACTAATGTAATCTTAGGCATTTTTCCTAGGAATATAAAGTCTTAACAAAATTCTCTGGCAATACACACTTAGGAAATTTCTCTTTTAGAAATCTGATAATATTCAATATGATGTTCACTTTTATTTACTTTAAACAGTGCCAAATAGTGTTTAAATTTTTTTGAATTATGTGCTGATATCCACTGGTGGTATCCACCAACTATGTCAGTGGTCTTTTTTTCCTTTTTTAATTGCAGCCTAGAAGGTATGGTTGAAGAAAAGACCACTTACTTTATTTATTTGAACAAATGATCCTACAGGAGCAACACATACCAGAATAAATGTCACCAAAAAAAAAAAAAAACCCATTATTCAGGATTAATTTAGGAATAATCATGGACCCATTATTTAGCATCAGAAAGGTTAAAAGCAATTTGGGTTTTATAGTTAAAATCATCTTCCTGTTTAGTTGTGTGTGTTTTTAAAAATATATTACTAAGAATAAATTCTGTTAGAGTATCATTATCTTCTGAAAGAGAAATACACTTTTTCTAGACCTTACATTAGAAAAGATGCCACCCTGGGGGCTCACTCATTTAGCTGTAAAGTCTTGATACTCAGAGTAGTTCAGAGACCAACAGAATCTGCATCACTCAGGAGCTTTTTGGAAATGCAGAGTTTCCAGATCATTCCAAATTACTGAATTAAAATCTGCTTTCAGACAAGATCATTCCTGGATGTCTATGTCCATTAAAGTTTAAAAGGCACTAAATTAGCCTTATATAGACCAGACAGTTCAGTTTTGCTTGTAACATTCCTTAAGATGTATGATGATTCAAATGTAAGGTTTTATGGAAATGATGTTAAAGACTTTAACGCTAGAGGAAAAGAAATCAGTGTTACTCTAGAGCTATTCTGTGCAGATCTTGTGTTAGACATTTCCAATGTATTAGTTAATTTAATCATTTAATACAATACTCTCTGAGGCAAGGGACACTATCTCCATATCTCTGGGCATGAAAACCAGCCTCAGGTTAAGTATCTCATCTATTTATCTCTTCCACACAGTGTATTCTTTCAATAAATACTGAACATCTCATTTCTGCAAGTCTCTGAGTTAAGCCTGGAAATAAAATAGGCATGGTCCCTACTGTCCTAAAATGTACAATATATTTTAATTAGATAAATGCTACGAAAATACAAGGTGGTATGTAAGTTTCTAAGAGGGAAACCTAAACTTTTCCAGAAGTTGTATAGGGAAAACTTCTATTTGGAAAGAGTATCTAAACTGACTGCTGAGAAACAGTTTTGTAAAGTTGGCCCTGAACAAAAGGCGAGCGTGTCAGTTTAGTAAGGGGATCCAAGCAGCAGTTGAGGCTGAGACATGGCAGGAATCCTGCAGAGCTTCGTAGAGCAAGGTGCGGACGTTGGATCTCATCCAAGAGTCAAAGGAAGCCACTGGAGGGGTTTACGCAAGGAAGTAACAAGCCCTGATCCACCTTTGGCAAAGCTCCCGCAGTCAGACTCACGCCAGGCCCTGCGGGCGGGTGGGTTTATTAGGGCCACTCCCCTCGGCTGCCTTTCTCCACCCTGGTCACCGCCTCCCGCTCCTCGGCCGAGCTGTCTAAGGGGTGGGAAGTGTGCGAGAG